CCCCCCCCCCAACTTGAACATACCATTTTCTCCAATTCCCACTGTTTGGATAAGAGCCTACTATCCCCCATTTAACAATAAAATCTCCTCATTCCTTTGGAAAGAGCATGTTATCCTCCATTTAACAGTAGCTTACAATCTTAAAATTAATCTAACAAAGTAGTCTACTTCCTCAAATGTTTCGGATAAAGATTCCTAGCTCGTTTGAAAGGTTTTCTTTTTCTCCAAAGCGCATGCTTTCATCGCAGTGTTGCACTTCAATGTATTGATGATTCCTTCCAGAGGAAGAAATAGTCACTTTGACCTTTTATAGTGTTTTTTTATTACTAATTTTTTTAACTTTTAGTATTCCTTAAACCATACTTTGCCATCTCACACTTATGATAAAGTATGTCTGCATTTAGTAAAGTAAGAGGAACACGGCATCAAAGAAATCTTTTCCATCCATTTCGACTTTATTTTCTTGTTTGTACTTTCACTAGTACTCATGAAACATTTGTGTAACGAAAGAAATGGGATGTTCCACGAATCTCATATTTCAAACTCTGGTGCTCGTGCGAGTTTTCAAAAGCACATCATCATTTTTCTTTTTTTTTTCTGTGAAAGTATACACACCCACACAGTTTGAAACTGAGCTAAGACAAAACGTTAACACTTGTGCTTAATGAGGACCCATATTTTATTTTTTCCACAGTTGTAGTTATTAGTGTGGGAGAACCCAATTTCTGTTTATTCACAACAGTTTCTTATAATAAACGTGTAAAGTTTGTCAACAGATACAATGTGATAGATAGCTAACAAAACAAATGCTATTATTTAATCAAAATATTTAACTTGTTAACTGAAGACACCAGCAAAATATTTAAAACATATTAAAGATATCAAGATTTAGTAGACTTTTCATGGATTTTTTTTACAGCTGGAGAGTTTAAGTACAACTGTTTATGTAAACAGTTTTTTGTGATGAAATAATTCATGGGTCCAGTTTGAGTTGCCTTGAGGGATCAAAATCGTTTGCTGCATATTTGTATAACTATTTTTTAAATATCAGTTTTCAGTTAGAAATAACTTAGTTTTATATATTATTGTTCCACTCTAGTCTATTTTTTGTGGGGATAGGAGTTGCACATGTAACAGAAAAAGTTTAAATTTACTGAAATTTTTTGCATATTTTTGGCCAACATACCATATAGCAATGTTAGATATTGAGCCGATTTCGAAGTATTGAAGGTTTTGATATTCAGGAGTCTATTTCTTTCTATTTGTTTGAATACTGATATAAAGATTAGTAAACATTTTAGTTGACAATTAATACAGTTCAACAACTGAACAGTGTATGGAACAAGTTGATACTTTCAGCTTTAGAAGTCGCACAGTGTGTGTAAGTACTATGAAGTTGTAACTTCAACATTTTCCATAAGAAGTCTAACTGACAAAAATGTTTGTATTTTGGAAAACAAACCAAGTAATAAATTTTGGAATCCTTGTTTCAAGGGAAACCAGCTAAAGCATTAAACTTTAAAATAATTAAGTCTTTTTCTATGTAAATATGAAATGTACAATCCTTTTTGCACTGATAATAATTAATGTTCACAAATTATGGTACAAAGTTAGAAATTTAGGGTTTTTCCTATTAATAGAAGACACTTGGTTCTCAACCATTGAAATGTTGATTTTGTAGAAACAAAGTAATTTATCTTTGTTACAAGATGGACAAAAGATGATAGATTAGGAAGAAATCATACTTTTATTAGGAAAAAGTACTTAAGATTGATTGTAAGTTGAGTGTTTTTCCACTTTCAGTTTGCAACTTTTTGAACAGCTCTGGGGGACAGATATGGGGGATATCATGCTCCTTTTGATAAAAACAGACACTTTTCAAAACCATGAGGGAAACATGTACTTAGATAAGAAATTTAAGCTCATTAGGCATTTTCTTAAGTTGATTAAGTTATTGTCCCCCCCCCCCCTTTTTTTTTGTCAAGTTCACTGGTGAATCAGTGATAAATTTACAGAATTATAATGCTCTAATCTGGGGTTTGATTCCCTACGGTGAAGAAAATCCATTGTGTAGCTTTGCAATAAAACAAGTTTTCTTTTCTGAAATCAACACTTTTTTTTCAGAATGGTGATGGGAACCTCTAGATACAAGTTTTTAAGAAGTTGTGTTTACATTTAAGCACCTTAAGCCATATTTCTCACATTAAAAGGTTTAGGATATCACGGTAATGGGGGAAGCTAGCTCAAGATTTCTCTTAGATTTTCTAAAAGAATTAAAGCAATTTTTCAAGATATGGTACATCTTTTTTAACTTTTTTTTTCAACTTACTATTAACTTTTGTATTTCATTCCTTGTGTAATCATAGTAATGTGATACTTCCTTCTGTTTTTTTATTAACAGTATTTTGAAATATTGTATGTTTCGGTTTATTTTAGTTCATTGATAATATGACAATTGTTGAGTGAGAAAGGAATTTCTAAGTTGGAAATTTTCTGTTAACTTTAAATGAACATATTAATGTATATTATAAAATTTTCACTTTGTATAAAACATGTTTCTGTTGGTTTTGGTTTAATAATAGTAACCGTGTCTCTGAATCACTGTAGGAAGCTTTTCTTTATATTTTTTCCTCCCTTATTGTAAAATCCTTCTCTGTAACTTTTCCAGCTGCCTTTTTGGTTAACAGTATGTGTTCTCCTGCTCTGGTACTGTCGTTGTTGGTAACTAGATGAAAGAAGTTGGGAACTTTATGAACATCCTTTGCTTGAAGTCCGCTATACCCCTGTTTCTCCAGTACAGCGTATGGACTGCTGCTCAAGTAGTTACTTTTCATATCTCTCTTCTGTGTTCATGGCTCGAACTTCTTTTTTGGTTTTACCTATTAGTAGCCTACTGCTGTTTACTGTAGACAATACAGGATTCCTGCCTGACAGTACTTTTGTATTATTGTTACTTTTTCTTCGTAAGTTCTGTTACTGGGTCAAGCTGATATTTTATAAGCTTTAACTTCTGTTAGCTTTCTTAGAATTCACATATTGTGTGTGTGACTATCTTTCTCTTTAAGTTTATTTGGATTGTAAAATATCCTTAGGAGGTACTG